TTTTTTTTTTTTTGAATTATACACGTTCGACTGTTACTTTCTTTTATTTATTTTTGACTATTCCACCGCAGTGAAAACACTTAACTACTGATATTTAAAGTAACAGCAACTCTAACACAGCATTTAATTTGTTTAATTGAGAACTCTAGTTTTTTAAACAGGCTCTACCAAATACTTGTTGTTTCATTATCAAGTTTATTCTTTTTTTCTTGTTTTTTTAAACTTGCCTACTTTTTCCATGCAAAAAAACTTCAGATTTCAGCCAATAATCTTTGTTCATGGAGTAACTTCTCGAGCCGTGGTGTTTGTCGGTCATCGTAACTATTTTATAAGTAGGGGTTATAAATCTGCTGAGCTGTATGCGACATCGTATGGTGATGGTGGAGTCACACCGTTTATGCAGGGAGCAATTGACTGCGATTTAATAAAGCAGGTAAAATTATAAGTTTTAAAAAAATTTAAACTTCTTACGTCTCGTGTTTTAATCAGAAGTTGTATTCTGTTATAAAACATTTGTTTAGGTAATTGTTAAGCAACCTTGTTGAGCACTAAAAAAAAGTAAAAACTTCTGCTATCACTTGTTTGGAAGAGTTGATTTTAAAGCTTTGATCTATTATAATACGCTATAAATGACCACAGTTTGAATTGTTTTTTTTTTTTCGTTTTATTTCTTACCTTACTGACAGGTTATGCTAAACAACCTAATTAAAAAGCAAAGCTTTCTTTTTTTTTTTATTAATTTACTTGAAGGTTCGTAATATGATAATTGCTGTGCATGAATATACCAGAAAAAAGGTCGACCTCATTGCCTGGTCTATGGGTTCAGCAGTAACTCGAAAAGCGATCTTAGGCGGACAATGCACCGAAACTCATGAGTATCTGGGAGGGCCGATCACCGGTTTGGTTAGTTTTACCTAAATTTCTTTAAAAAATGGTTTTCGATATGCACTTTTTGTTATTGTTGTCATTGCTACTGTTTTCTGAATAATGTACTTAAAACAGAAGAAAAAAAAACACAATACTGCTGATTTTTTTAATTTTAGTAGTATACAAATCAAATATTAATTGTACCAAATTTAATCCTACTTTTCTTCACATTATTCTTCTTTTCCACTGTCGTATAAATGAAAATTCGGATAAGTTTACAAGAGAAGACTGAGAAGTCTGTGCACTTTTTTAAACGTTTTCTTTATATTGAAGAAAAAGTATAGATAAAGAAAATTAATTTTTAAACTAGTTAAAAATTAGCGTTTGAATATTGAATACAGATTAAAAGTCAATAAAATAAGCACCTAAAAAATTAAATTTAATTAATTTTTAGTTTTTGTTAGGTACTGTAATATGACGACTATATTTCATTCTCTTTCTTATTTTATCACTTTCTTATTAAAAATAGCTTCATTGTTGTTCAGCAGCAGTTTATAAACACAATTTTTCTGGTGATATCAAAACTTTCTGCAACATCTGTCAACACGGTGTCATCAGTAGGTTTCTCAAAAAAAAAAAAAAGAAAAAGAACAGATACATGCGTTATTAAATGTATTGCATGAAACATTGACTGTTCAGCAGTCAGGTGTGTTCTGTTGTTTAAGGTTGATACATTTATTGCAATCGGTGGAGTAAATTACGGTCTCCAGTATTGTCCAACATATCGAATAGGCTGTAATCCAATTAATTCAATGTACTGCAAAAGCAAACTTATGGTGAGGCTTTATTTTTTTTATTCAAAATTTTAATTAATTTTAATTTTTCTTAACTGTTGATTTTCGTAAATGCTTTTTCTTACTGTTTACATTTTTATTATCTTTTTACTAGATAGTTTTCTGCTTGTTTTTGATTGTGAACTTTTATTCTTTACAATTAGTTTTGAACAATATTTTTGCAAAATTAAGCAACTTGGCTAATAAAATTTTTTCTTTATGCTTTTAGTCTTCAAAAAACCATTAACTTTTATTTATTATAAAGTGTTATAAGCAAGAATTAATACTCAAATTTTTTAGCTATTTCTAAGTGTACAGCAATCAAATTTTGATTGAATCTTGCACAAAATTTATAGGTGATAAAATGTTTAGTTTATTGGTTTTTAAACTTCTTTCGCATGGCTTCAACTGTATAATTATATTCAATTCAAATTGTTTTTTTTTTTCAACATTATTTCTATATTCCAGTAACAATTTTTTCTTTTACAAATTTTTCAGAAAGAACTGAACTCTCAACCGATTCGTTACGAAGGTACATATTCGTACTCATTATACAGTTTAACTGATTTTATCATTGGCCAATACTGTTGTGGTCACATATGCTCGGATCTTCCGCATGGCGAAACGTTCGAGAAACCAGGTCACAATCACGTATCGATATTAACAAGCACAATGTCGTTTCAGTATGACCTTCTTAACCACTAAAAGTCGTACGATACAGTCATTTTGTGGGAAATTTCTTTTTTTGTATTTAGTAATGCTGTT